ATATGCTTGCTATTTTGGAGAGGGGAGAGGAAGAGCTCCCCACTCTGACCTCAACTGCTTAAAGCAGTTTTTGGTCTGGTGGGAGATTTGCGTTGCTGGAGATTTATTGTTGAGAAAGTATTCTCTTTCCAGCGTCATCTTGCCATAGGTGCCACGTGTTTAAAGAATTACACGAAGAATCCATTATTTACTGAGCTAGCCAGTAGTTGACAAATGTTTATTAATGCCTCACATGTCACTGAGATTTCCTTCAGTTTCCATATTGAATACACTCCAGCATTCCAAATGGACGCAGAAGACTTTACCTCTAGGGCATGGAGGAAAAAAATCCTAAAAGCTCTGGTTCAATTCTTCTTTGATACATAGTGGAGGGTGCAATTATTCCCTGTCTGTGTGCGCGTCCCCTTTCCTTACATCGAAATTTGACTCCCAGTTTAAATGTTTTGCTTAACCTCTCTTTGACTGGCCTTTGTCATTTTGCACTGGGAAATCAATATCTACAAATATTTATTTTGTGGTCAAATATGGTGCAGAATAAAGAGACTCACAGACTTGGAAAATGAACTCATGATTGCCGGGAGAGGTGGGGGGAGGGATAGTTAACGACTTTGGGAAGGTCATGTACACACTGCTGTATTTAAAATGCAAAACCTATTGTATAGCAAAGAAAACCTATTGTATAGCAAAAAAAAAAAAAAATTAACTTTACTAAAGTATAATTTAACTACAATAAATGAATTTTGAAAAAAGTGGTGCAGGATGTCATAGTTCAGATAAGAACATTTTCCTCCCCTCTCCAGTTCTTTCTTCTTTTGCTTTCTGTTCTCCTGCCTACTTTTTCTTCCCCTTCCCCCCACCACCCTTAATGGTACCTGGAATTTGTCAAGGAATGAAAGGTAATGTTTTGTCCCAGCAGAAGTATAAAGAGTCATATAAAAAGAAAAGTTAATTTTTAAAAAAAGAAGAAGAGTTTACCAGTTCAGGTTTATAGTGAACAACATATCTTCTTTCAGGTGCCAGGCTTAATTTTACACTTACCAAGATGTTATGTACATTTTACCAAAATCTCACATTTGGGTGAAATTCCAGATTTAAAAAATATATTTTAGAAGTTGGAAAGGGGTAAATTAGTTTATTTAAACATCACAGGACCAAGAAAAGTATCCTCACATAAACTGACTGCTTAAGACAAATACTATTTGATAAGTTATGGACACCTGAACCAAACTCACACAGTAATACACAGACAACTGATGTCAACGTGTCCTGTGCCAAACACAGCATCATTCTCCCTTAACTGTCCCCACCGAAACTGCATCCAGAACCGTCCTTACCTATATTTTATTCATTAGCCTGAAGGTAACCATGAAGAAATTAAATTGCAAACTTGATTATATCAATAATTGGCGAATTCTTTAGCACTAACTACTATAGCATTTGTAATACAATTAAAATAGACCAAATCAATCACATTGGTTCTGCTCTTTTCAAATCTGCGGCGTGACCCGGAGGCCATTCATACCCTGTGTGCTACATACCTAAAAGACGTCAGGCAGTCTATGCTATTGACACTGTGGAGTCACCAGTTCTTCAGCGCTCACTGCTCAAATCTGACTGCCCTTGGGGTGCATTTTCTTACCTTAAGGAGAAAAGAAGAGCTGGGAAGAAGAGATGCACTGTGTGTCCTGATGAATGCAACCATGGTGTGACTGATTTGATGGGGCTGAGTTAGGCTTCTCTTTGCTGTTAGTGGAGGAGGGAAAAGATGTTAACCAGAATAGCTCATATTTACTGAGAGCTTACGGGTTCCAGGTACTAAATTCCTTCTAAAATGTAAAATCTAAAATGGCAGAGGTACTATTATTAACCTCCCTATCTAGATGAGGAAACCAAGCTTCAGACAGGCTAACCCTCTTGCCCAGGAAGGCCAGCAGCCACCCCCAGCTGGCTGGCTCCAAAGCCTTTGTCATCACTGATTTAGAATTGATGAAAAATGGGAGAAGAGCTTTTAAGATGTCCAATATGTTATTTTGGGGAACGGAGTCATTGAAGTTGAACAAGAGAGCTGTTTCTTAGACATGAGACAGGTAGAGCAGAATAAATGAAAACACTGGGTTAATTCCCAGGTGGCGCCATCTGTAAAGACTCTGCCGGTCAGTGCAGGAGACATGGGAGACATGGGTTTGAACCCTAGGTCGGGAAGATCCCCTGGAGGAGAAAACGGCAACCCACTCCAGTGTTCTTGCCTGGAAAATCCTAGGGACAGAGGAGCCTGGTGGGCTTCAGTCCATGGGGTCACAAGAAGTCAGACAGGTCTGAGCACCGCTCACAGCTACAGCTGTGTCTGCCACCCAGAACCACGCCTGATACATAGTAGCACTCAATAAATGTGCACTAAGTTAGCAGGACTGCAGGTGACAAAACAGGAAACAGTGGCTTAAACTACTGAGTCTTTTCTCTGAAGACAGAAGACTGGAAATAGGCAGACATCTCCTGCCAGAGGGGCTCATGAAAATTGTTAAAAATGGGACACCTCTAACTTCCTGGGCCATCATTCTTAGTGGTCACAAGATGGCTGCTGCTCCCACACTGCACACACGTTCCAGGCAGAAAGAAGGACAAAAACAGAAAAGCAAAGCCTTTATCTCATGAGGCTGTAACTTTTTATTTGGTAAGTGACTCCTTCCTTAAATATTTCCACCTACCTCTCATTAGATACCCAGCAGGCTGGAGAAACAAATATTTCAATAAGCTAACATGCTATATAAAATAAGCTAGAATGATGTGTTGTTTAACACAGGGAATATAATCAATACTTATTTATATATTCAATGTTATATACTTATATATACTTATAACAACTATAGAAGTATAGTCTTTAAAAATTGTGAATCACTATATTGTATACCTGCAACTTATATAATATTGTACATAACTGTATTTCAATAAAAAATTTTTAAATAACATAAATAATACGTGCAGAGCCCTCAGTGCAATTTGTGGCATCTAGCAAGCACTCCTTAAGGGTTTGCCATAAAGATTAACATCAGCATCTCTTTACCAAATAGTTATTGATTCTTTATGAAAGAAATAGAGTTTGTTCCCACAGAGATGAAAGAACTGAAGATAAAATGATTAATCTGTGAACTGAAAACCCTGGAGAGCCCGGGGCAAGGACCCACACATACTATATAGACAATAAGTGTTTTGTTCTTGCTGTTGCTGAGGTGGTAATGAGAACGTCCTTTCCTTTAGTTCCATCTGGAAACTGAAGAGTGGAAAACTGTACATTCATATTCAACTTAAAGATTTGATTTGATTGAGCAAAAGAGATTTAGTAAGAATGGGCCATGAATCTGGAGATAAGTTGGAAGGTCAATGAAAAATAAAATATTGTGGGCATGCAGCTCCAAGGGCCTGGTGGTACTCACAGCCCACATTTAGAGCTCATGAAATAAACTATTTAAATCATACTGCTTATTCTCACCTTCCATGAACCAGGAAGCAGGTGCCCCCCCATACCTGAATCAGTAGCACCTTGACCTTGGAATTCCCAGCCTCTACAGCTGAGAAATAAATGTCCGTTGTTTAGACGGAGGGAAAAAAAAAATCATACTGCCTGTTCAGAGATTTTTTAAAAATTCATTAAGACACATTTATGAAAAACAAAACTCTGGATGATCATCAGTATTTTGACAATATTTTTTCTAGATTAGGAAAAGAAGGTTCCCCTTTATTTTTTATGTATTTAAGTTTGACTGTGCTGGGTCTTCCTTGCTGCAGGGGCCTCTCTCTAGCTGCGGTGAGCAGGGGATTCGCTAGTTACGGTGCACTGGCTTCCGGATTGCAGCTTCTCTTCCTCCTGGGCCCCAGGGCACAGGCTCAGGGGCAGTAGTTGCGTGTAGGGGCTTGGTTTTTCTGCAGCACGTGCAGTCTTCACAGACCAGGGATCGAACCTGTGTCTCCTCACGCGGATTCGTTACCACTGAGCCACCAGGGATGCCCCAAGATTCCCCTTTAAAATGCAGAACTTATTTGTTGACTCAAACACCAATACTATCTCAAATGTCCAGTCTCTGTGGCTCCCTCCCTTCGCGGCTCCTAATCCTGCCTATCATACACTCAGTTTTATTTGAATGCATTATTGCTACAGTTTCAAAATTTGGAAAGCTATTGGAATTAGATTTTGAGAAAGGTAACGGCTGAGTGATAAATTCAGACCTGAATCAACACCAACAAAAAGATGCTAGGTCTCTCCAGGCCCGTGGATTGCTGGTTGCCGGTTTAAAAATGCCCTAACACGGCCTAGTGGAGCTCAGTGGGTTAGGACCAGTAATACTCGCGATTATGCCTTGATGCCAGAAAGACCTGTTTCTACGAAGTTCACGTGCTGAACACCAGAAACTGAACAATTGGTATCACATCAAAAGGAAGGCCTTTCTCCTAACTATCGCTATTTAGTATGGCCAGGGGAGGATCGATGCGCTGGGTTCCACAGGTGTCAGGGCTCCAGAATTCTAAGATATGTTAAAAGGCAGGAGGCAGCGTCTCACAGGTAGCCTTCGTGCACCTCCAACCCTTCAGGGCACGCGGTAAGAAAATGCTGGAGTTCCTCGCCCACCCTAGAAGACCAGAAGCGTGTGCGCGGACCTCGTCGCCTGGCCCCGCCCCTCCTGTGGTCCCGCCCCTCCCTCGGCCCCGCCCTTCAGCGGTCCCGCCCCTCTCGTAGCCACGCCCCTTCATGGCCCCTCCCCTCCCTGTGGTCCCGCCCTCCCCCTGTGGTCCCGCCCCCTCCCCGTGATCCTGCAGTCTCCCGCGGCCCCGCCCCGCCCCCGCGGCCCCGCCCAACGATGCTCGGCGTCCCGCGGCCGCCCGGATCGCGGAGGCGGGGCGGGGCTCACCCTTGCCCCCGGGGCTCCGCCAATCAGCGAGCGCCCTGTTGGCCGTCCGCGGCGCCCGCCCCGCTCGCTCGCGCCGCCCGCCTTCTCCCAGAGTCCAAGATGGCGGGGTCCAGGCGGCGGGGTCCCCGGGCCGCGTTGCGGCCGCTGCTCTGCGCTCTGCTGCTGTGCGTCTGCCGTTCCGCGGGCGGCGACGGCGCGGGAGGCGGCCCCGGGGCGGCGGGCGCCACGGACAACCCGGCCGCGCCGCCGCACCGCCGCTTCGAGTACAAGTACAGCTTCAAGGGGCCGCACCTGGTGCAGAGCGACGGGAGCGTGCCCTTCTGGGCCCACGCGGGCAGTAAGCGGGGCGGGCGGGCGGGCAGGGAGCGGGGCGGGCGGGCGGCCCGGGCCCCTCCGTGCTCTCCGCGCCCCGGGCGCGCGGGCCAGCCCAGATCCGCGGGCCCCAGATCAGCACCCCGTCCCCCCTCCCCACCCCACCCTCCTGCCGTGCTCCCTTCCAATGCCCCTCGCTCCTTGTGTTCGGTCTCTCGGGTCTCTTCCTTTCTCCTGCGCTCACTTGAGCTCGCTTCGAGGCGTCGCGTTTCAGCCCAGCGCCGCGGCTCCGGGGAGAAGTCCCGCGCCCCCGTCCCCCCGCCCCGTTAGGCCCCAGCCTGGACCTGCGCCCCTTCCGCCCCTCGGCCCTCCCCTGCTCCCCACCGGGGTCGGCCGAGGTTGATGCTCGGTGTCCCCTGACGGCTACAGGGATGGCCCGTGTTGGCTTTAGAGCGATCTCGAAGTCTTCATGTCGGAGGACATGCTTCTCACCCCTCTGGAACTTGTACCTTAAATTTGCCTTTCTCAGGGACGTCGTGTGTTTGATTTTTTTCTCTTGCATTAACACATTATGTCGTTTATAGTTAGTTTCATTTAATAGAAGAAGGGATACGAGGTATCGATTGAGAACTTGAGTCTAAAAACTGGCACTGTGTACAGCTTTTCATGTTTATTTTTTTGGCGTGGGAGATTGAAACACCCTGTGCCCAGTGTTTTATTCATCTTGTGTGTGTGGCGCTGTGAAGCCCCGGCCGTGGTAAGAGAGCCTTGCTCCCTGCTTACGTATGTGAGAGAAAACCTATGTGTAGGAGCGCTGATGTGTCACGGCCGCCTAAAACGTGGCAGTTGGCTGCTGTAAACTGCTCAGTGACCATCAGATGCAACCTGTGAAACAAGTGGCAGATGCCTTTCTATGGGATGGGAAGCACTGGCAGTTTGAATTCCATCTTTGAGTGTCATGAGCGGTCCTTCATGTAAGGCTTGCGTGCATTCTTTTAGATTGTCCAGCACTTGAAACAAAATGTTTCATTTCTAGAAAGTAATCTCTGCTTTACAAAGCACACTTTTAGGAAGGGCTATTTCCTTGATATTAATGTATGGTTAAAAGGTAGTTAATTTCAGTTAGACTTAATGACTAAGTCATTAAGTATGTGAAGGAGAGTGCAATTATTCTTTTACTCCGCAGGGTTACTGTATACCCGCTCCTCAAAAGCCTATCCCCAGGCATTTGTTATCAACGTAGCCTTGTTCTTAATAACAGAGCTGGCGCAGGTGTCCCAAACACAAGTGTGGGGGAATTTTTTTGTTCTTGAAATGATGCTGAGTTTTTCAGTAGTGGTGATAAACGTGTTGACGTTTTTCACTTCTGTATTTCTCCATTGTCTTGTTCTTATGCTTTTTCTCGCACTCACACCACATACATCAGCCAATTAGGAATGTTAGTCAACTGCTAAAATTAGTTACATTGACCTTCTTTTCAGAACCTATAACCAACTAAGCTTTTCTGCTGCAGAAATACCACATAATACCACATACCTGCGTGAATGAAAATTGTATGGCCAGATTGAATTTGAAATAAGGAGTTTAGAATTTTAGCAGTGACTTTTCTGTTGACTCTGGGTATCTCTTGCTTTATCACTGTGATTTTTACCGTCTCACAGTTTTCCTTAACTCCATTCATCATTTTTCCCTTTTCATTTTGCCCTGAGATCCATTATTAAGATTTAGTTTAAACATATCACCTTACATCATCCTCAAATTAAGACCAAATCTATGGTGTTTCTTTTTCTTAACGCTTATGTCCTCTTGTACTGTCAGTACACATCCTCGGGTCCATAAGGGCAAAAACGATAACAGCAGGTTGTCAGCCTTTGGAGCGGTCAGAGCTCTTTCACCTTCTTCATGCTCTGATTAGATCCCTAGTAGGTCAGGCAGGTGCTGGTTGTTTTATAGGAGAAACACCTAATGTTCAGAAGGGTAAGAATTCTTGGCAAAGGTTGCGTAGCTAGTGTCGGTAGGGTAGGACTCAGATCCGGCTCCTCTGGTTCTCTGTCGGGTGCTTTATCTGAGAGGACTGCGCCGGACCTTTACGTTCTTCAGGTGATGGTGGCAGATGGCAGCTAAACTCTCCAAAGGATCTCAGCTTGTCTTTCCTGTCAGTTTTCCTACCTGTGAAGAGACAATAGGGTTATGTCCCAGCGTGGATGTCAGGATGTCAGAACTGCTTAATATCTGGGAAGGTGTGCTCCAGTTGTTCAGTTAGACCCGTAGGCGCTTTGATAATTACTCGTCTCATAAGGTGACACAGTGGTGAAGAATCCACCTACCAATGCAGGAGATGCAAGAGACATGTTGATCCCTGGGTGGAAAAGATCCCCCGGAGTAGGAAATGGCAACCCACTCCAGCATTCTTGCCTGGAAAATCCCATGGACAGAGGAGCCTGGTGGGCTACAGTCCATGTCTGCAAAGAGTCAGACACGACTGAATGACTGAGCACAGTCCAGTAATAGGAATAGCTAACATTTATTGAAATATTTACATGCACTTAAATAAGCACTTACATGCCTGTGAAGTTGCTGGAGAAATGGAGTGACTTGCCTATGAGCAAACAGCTAGTAAGTGGATGGAGACACAGACCATCGTGTTGGGGGTCCCTGTTCTCTCTGAGAATCTCCTGATGCTGAGGAACTGTATGTTGACTGGAAATTCAGTTGACCGTCTCTCCAGAAGAAAGTATACATGCTTAGAATTCTGCATGTAACTTTTGGGATGTATATAAATGATTGAGCCCAGCCCCTTCATTTTACAGGTGAATATATGGTGAGCCCAAGAGAGTAAGAGAATTATTTGCTCAAAGGCACACAGCTGAAGTGAGACTAGGAATAGGTCTCTTGATTCCTAGTGGTATGTGCTTTTCACACTATTTGAGCTTTCTAACATTTGTACACTTGTAAAAAAAAAAAATACACCAAAGTTTTAAAAAGGGAAATATATGAATTTCTGAGTTATTTGAGAAAGAGTATCATAAGAATCAAATAGTTGATTTGCCTTTCAAGCTGTAATTTCTTCCCTCCTACCCCTTGAATTTTTAGTGGTTAGTTGCAGCTTTAAGGTTTGTTGTTTGTTTTTTGCAGAGATATCACATTTTTCAAAGATAGAGGGGTATTAAAAACCCCTAAAATGTAAAAGTTGAAATTGTCAGCATGGAATTTTTCCCTAACAAATTACTGTACAGGCGACTGAAAGTTAGATCTCTTTAGGTATATTTAACAGTTTGTTGATGATTCATTGAGTTTTATCTAATTATAACATAAAGCTTTTCTTCCCTGATTGCTATTCTAGATGCTATTCCAAGTTCGGATCAAATCCGAATAGCACCATCTTTAAAAAGCCAAAGAGGATCAGTGTGGACAAAGACAAAAGCAGCCTTTGAGAACTGGGAACTTGAGGTGACATTTCGAGTGACTGGAAGAGGTCGCATTGGAGCTGATGGCCTGGTATGGTAATTTCTTTAACTTGGAAAATTTACATAGATGCATATACCACTAGTCTCTAAATGTTCCCTGTTATATATTTACAGGCAGTTTGGTATACGGAGAATCAAGGCTTGGAGGGGCCTGTGTTTGGATCAGCTGATATGTGGAATGGTGTAGGAATATTTTTTGATTCTTTTGACAATGATGGAAAGGTATGGTGTTTTTCAGGACTGTTACCCGCTTTAAATGTATTTGCTAACAAAGTTAGTCTGTGAACAATATAGATTATTTGACACTTTCGTCAGCTTTATAGTAGAGGATTTGAATCTTTATATAGCTGGGAATTTATAAATGGAAAGCTAGAAGTTCATGATTTTTCTTATTCCAACTTGAGGTGACAATGCAACCTTAAGCCTGAGAACTTTTCAGGACCCACCTCCCCCAGACCCTGCTTATGCTCAATAATTTTGAGGATCAGCTTGAGTCGTTTAGGTGCAGACAGTGAGACCAGTAGTGTTTCAGATTGTTACTGCTTTTTTCATGAAAACCTGTGCATTGCTACTATTAGTTCACTTACTGATACCTTTTTATACCTGGTCATCACTCTCTTTGATCAGCCTGATTTCTCTAAAACAGTTAAGGACAAAATGTACTTATGAACTGGAAACATTAACTTGTGCTTTAGCAGCCCTAAGACTGTGATCATTGTTTCTGCTGCTAGTCTGTGGGTTATCAGAGGTCGTTATTAGCAATTTAACGGAGAGTCTTAACAATGAATTCCTTCGGTGCCAGGGCCATGTTAATTCTCCTGTTACTAAGTTCCCATAAATCCCACACTAGTTCCATGCTCACAGTATCCTAGGATTTTAGAGGTGTTAGAGAACTTATAGCACACCCAGAATAATCTGGACTTCTTTAATTTAAGGACTTTAAAACAAATACATTCTTCTTATTTTTAGAAAAATAATCCTGCAATAGTGATTATAGGCAACAATGGACAAATCCATTATGACCATCAAAAGTAAGTGTATTTTTTTTACAGTATTCCAATTTTTAGTTTCTTTTTGGAAACCTTATAAAATATATTGTTTCAAATCTGAACATTTTCTAGATGGAAAAGATTATTCTTTTTCTTGAGATGTTTTTTGTAACTTAATGGGAAGGTCTTATTTTACCTTGGTGGTGTTGTAAAGTTCCTTCTTTGGACTACCTGGACTTCAAACATAAAAATGTGTTGTCGTTAACCTAAAATTGTATAATACCTTCAAAGATTTATGAAACATTCCTGGCTCTCAGTGATGCAATAGCCATGTTTTTTCATCTTTATTCAAAGGAATCTTTAAAAAGTAAAGTTTGGAGCCTTAACCACCCTAATGCCTAAGCAATTTATGCCTCCTTGTTCAGTCCTGGTATTGCTGTATTTAAAAGATTTTCAGTGGGTTACAGAGCTTTTGAGAGTTTAGTGTATTTATAATGTGTGTGAATTGGGCGTGTACGTTTTTAATTTTCACATGGTTGTGGGGGCATTACCTTTCAGCCAGTCTGTAAAGTGCAAGAAAAATTACTTTCCTGCCTTAGTGATGTTTAACTCTGGTACTTCATCATGACCACCTATTGAGTGATTTAAACTAGCAGTCCAAGGCCTCTCCCTTGTGATTCTGCTTCAGCTTTGAGGGCAGAGTTGAGGAGTCTGCATTTTTTTAAAGCTCCGTGTGTGGCTCTGACTCTGCAGAGGAAGAATCTGCAGCCACACTAACATTGGCTCCTCGTCCAGACTCCTGACCCGAGTCTCAGGTAAAACTCATTGTCAACTTGGTGTCTTCTGCATAGATAACTTCAGATACCTCAAACTTTGTCATAACTTGATACAGGTTTTGATGTTGCTGGACATTCATTGTTTTAAATAGTGAGTTTTTAAAATACCAAGAAACTTCTAAACTTCTTGTCTTCCTTTCCCTCATGCTATAGTGATGGTGCTAACCAAGCTTTGTCAAGTTGCCAGAGGGACTTTCGTAATAAGCCCTATCCTGTCCGGGCAAAGATCACGTACTACCAGAAAACCCTGACAGTAAGTAACGTGCTCTTAGAGACAGTCCGATGACCAGTACTCTCGTGTGCTTCTCCTGCTGATGGAAATTCAGCGCGTTTTAATTGGGTGTTGTTCACATGTTCATCAGCGCTGCTCTGTGAGAAGAAGTAGCTTCAAAGCTCGGTTTACGTGTCACGCGTTGTCATGCATTGTCACGTGCCATGTGCTGTCAAACTTGACAGCAGGTTTGCATTTAGTCAGTGAATGTCTAGGCGTGCTGCTGTGTGCCACGCAAATATGAATGAGACCAAGGTCATTTTCTCCAAAGAGCTTGTCTGATGGAGGCGACCTTATGAACACCATGCCTGTGTAGTGTTAGCTACGCTGTGTGGTCAGTGCTGCAACAGGGAGACCACTGGGGACCCAGAGGGCAGAACCCTGTGACTCTGCCGGGAGGGAGGTGACGGTCAGGAGCGGCTTCTCAGTGGGGCTGCACCTTGGAGGAGGAGGAGTCTCCTAGATGGGGTGCATATTCCAGGCAGAGCAAACAGGCGTCAGAACTGTTGAAAAATTTGAGAAAGGCCAGTAGTTGGTCTGGCTGCAGGCGAGAGGAGCTGTGGAAGGTGAGGTGGGAAGGTTGGCAGCGGCGAGCCTCAGCCGCCTGGTGCAGTGTTTCCTGTAAGGAACCGCACGCAGGGTTTTAGCAGGAGTGTGGAGTGAGCAGGTTCCAGTTCAGGATGGTGACCGGGGCAGCGGTGGTCTTCTGACGGTGTTTGTGAGAGAAACAAGAAGCAGGGAGATTTAGCCTGACTCTTAGTGTGGCTTGGTCCTTTACCTGTGGTTTCTCCCTTTTTTCCTTTCCAGTTTTGTTGAGATAGAGTTGACACGGCATTGTAGAAGTTGGAAGTGTATAGCATGATTTGACTTAACATACACCACAAAGTGATGAGTGCACTTATAAGTTCAGTGAGTATCTATCATCTCATGTAGGTAGAAAGTGAAAGACAATAGAAAATATTTTTTTCCTTGAAAAAATTCAGCCTGATAGTGTTCATTTTTTTTATTAGGTTAAAATTTTCTATTAGGTCATATTTTGTGCATGATTTCCAAACTGAGATGAAACTACACATGTTTAAAAAAAAATAGTAATGTCAAAAAAGAGTTTTTTATCGCCCTTTCCAGTGCCCTTTTAAGGCTGACTCAGTGCCTTAAAACGCTAACACAGGAAGGTAAAGAAAGTCTTCATAAAACCCAGAGAAGAGATTTTTAGAACTCCTCTCTGGATCCTGTCTGGAGTCACAACTGAACCAGAAGGTTTTAAGTCTTAGCACTTACTAGTATGTGTATAGTTAATACCAAAGTCATTAAATTTAAACTTGACAAAAAAAAAAAAGTTTTTTACACTAAGAATCCTTAGTATTTACTCTTCTAAGCACTTTGAGGTGTAACATCCAGCCGTGTTCACTGTACTTTCCACGTTGTACATTGCATCCTTAGTGCTTGTTTATCTTATAACTGGGAGTTTATCCTTTTTGACTGTCTTCATCCACTTCTCCACCCCCACCCCCCTACTGCTGGTATCCGTAAATCCAATGCTATGAGTGAGTTTGTTTTTTGACTAAAATTGACCTGTAACAAACACTATGTCAGCTCCTGGTATACAGCGTAATGATTTGCCATTTCTGTACATTGCAAAATGATGGCCGTGGGAAGTCTGGTTATCTGGCACTGTACAAAGGTATCTCATGATTCCTGGCTGTTTCCCCGACTGTATCTCATACTTGTGACTATTTAGCAATTAGAGGTTCTCCCTGTTAATCTCCCTGCCCTATTTCTCTCCTCCCCCCCAGTTCCCTCCCCTCTGGCAACCTGTTCTCTGTATCTGTAACTCTGTTTCTGTTTTCTTCTGTGAAATCATGAAGCACTTGTCTTGGTTTGCTTTACCTAGTATAACACCCTCTAGGCCCACCTGTGTTGTTGCAGATGGCAAGATTTAATTCTTTTTTATGGCTGAGCAGTATTCTCTTGTATGGTTCATACATACCACATCTTTATCCATTCGTCTGTTCAGTATTTTGGTTGCTTCTGTATCTAGTCTGTTGTAAAGAATGCTGCAATGAACATGAAAGAAGAAAGTGAAAGTGTTAGTCACTCATTTGTTCACTTGTGTCCAACTGTTTGCAACCCCATGGACTGTAGCCTGCCAGGCTCCTCTGTCCTTGGAATTCTCCAGGCAAGAATACTGGAGTGGGTAGCCATCCCCTTATCAAGAAGATCTTCCTGAACCAGGGATCAAACCCCAGGTCTCCTGCATTGCAGGCAGATTCTTTGCTGTCTGAGCCATGTAGATGAATTGGGTTTGAGGTAATGTTTAGGTGGACAGGACCTGGCAAGCAGTTAGGATAACTGAGGTCACTAGTATCATGTGAACTCTGCTTTTTTAAAGATGCTGTCAGTATCTGGTCATATAATACTTAGAAGTAAAGGATATGTTGCTTATGTTTTTCTTTTCCCTGAATCATGAGCTAGCCTTGCACTCCTTTGTGTCAACTCAGAAAAAGACAGTCATTTGGGAAACTTTGTACTGGCTCAGTCTTATATTCCAAACTGACTTGGAGAGCTCAGAATCGAGGCAAGTGTCCAGTCTGTTATGACTGACTTATATTTGCGTTCCACTGGAGTTGTTACGCACAGTACGCACTGCAGTTTCATCAGGGACGTCACTGGGTCACGCGTACCTTCACACGGCGGAGCCCAGGCACCAGCCGTGGCAAGTACAGACCCAACACTTGAATTCACAGGTCCCAGGGAGGCTGCCTGTACAGCCCCACGCAGAGGGGCCGTCAGCCCTGCCCGCAGTTCCCGAAGCAGTAATAGTCACCCTGCAGCATGTGCCCACAAAAGAGTTCCACAGTCAGATAAGGTTGCTGGGACTGTGCATACGAGCAGTGAAGATTGTAGGAAGTCCTGGAATAAAGAAGCCTCTGTTGCGCCACCCATTCTTCGGGCTTACTGGACCGTGGGGTGCTCTTTTGCGCTGGCATCTATGAATGTCTGTAGAGCCAGCGTCCTGAGGAATCCATCTCAGAGCGCCTTGGCAGGCCAGCCGGCTGCGGCTCGGTGGTCCCAGCCCTTGGCTGCGCTCGCTGCCTTAGATGCGCCCCCGCGCTCGGCCTGGCAGAGGCTGCTGCTTCTTGAACATGCTGGTCAAGATCTCCTTCTGCAGTGATCTGTCTCTCTGAAGCTCTTTAAGGGTTTTTTTCCTCCTCTAGTGCTGATTTTTTCTTCCAATTTTATTGAAATGTCATTGACACACAGCACTCTATAAGTTTAAGGTGTACAGCATTACGATTTGAAGCTGATGGCCCTTTGCAGTTATCAGACCAGGTACAAAGATGAAATCGTCGTAAACTGACTGTGTGAGATTCATTTTGCAAGGTCTTTGTAAAAGCTCTAACCTGCAATGTGTCTTTCTAGGTAATGATCAATAACGGCTTCACACCAGATAAAAACGATTATGAATTTTGCGCCAAAGTGGAAAATATGATTATCCCCGCCCAGGGGCATTTCGGAATATCTGCTGCCACTGGAGGTCTTGCAGGTAAGACCTTGCCGTCTTCTAACGTTAAGAGGTTGTGAACTGAATCTTACTAGGAATCCTGTAGTTTGGAAATGGGTAGCTCTGTTTACTTTTAACCTTTTGAGACAAGTTACAACCTTCCCATGATCAGTGGGGCCAGGCCTTTGGTCTCTTGGGGCGGCTCACTCTTCTGTAGGCTTACAGTTGGCTGGGGGCCACATACAATTATGTACATCAGCGTACCAGTCTAGGTGCAGTATTTTATAGTGAAGGAGACATATTTAAAAGGTTGATCGCCTAGTGTTTTAGGACCCTGAGAGTTGTCACAGCACATTTAAATGAATTTGGTAGCCTGAGGAAATATTACTGAGGACTGAACTTTAAACACGTACTTACCGTATCTTTTCCATATGTGGTGATAAATGAACTTACCGTTAGATATTAATACCATCTTGTGTTCGTATTATATAATAGTCTTATTATTTCCAAATATGTGAATTTTTCGTTTCAGCAGCACTGGGCGGGGGCGGGGGGGGAGAGAGGATAGATCGTATTTACTCTATTTTTAGGTGGCTTTGCCAAATCTTGGATTTAAGGGCTTTCTAAAGATCATGTGGCCAATAAATCAGACCCAGGCAGGACTCAGTTGGATTTCTGCCCCTTGGGTACAGGACTCCATTAACACTGCGTGACTTCTCCTAACGTTACCCAACCCACCCTGTGGTGTTTCAGTTTTCTCTTTAATCTGGCTATGTATCTAGATCTCCATAAAAGTAGCAGAAAGCAAAGAGATTGCCGCAGTTGAGATTCATGTCTCGTTTGTGGGTGTGACACTAGCCAGGATGAGTATGGTAGTTCCACATTTGATCTGTTAGCTGTTTTTAGCTCAGCCAGCTTGAAATGAACAATTTCAGGTGAAATAAAATTGCTAGTATCTGCTATATGAGGTAAACAAATACAAAAGAGGTACAGAGAGTAATCATATTATCTAATTGAGATGCTTTGGTAGTGAAAGGAGATGCTCTTAGTAACACCAGGACAACATGGATAAATCGGGGCTCCCAGTAGGCCAGGACAGAGCAGTGTCCTGTTTAAAACAGGAAAGGAAGGCTCAGGGTGGTGAGTGTGTAAGAAAGGTTCAGAAACAGATGGGAACAGGAAATACCTGAAGGACAGGCTTCTGTCTCACGTGACTGGGACACGGTCCATGAGGAGATTTGTGGGAAAATAAAGGAGGGTCTTAGTGCCGGGAATAGGAGTTTGCGCTTGCTTTGACACTTTGTTTGTTCATTCCCTTTATCAGGTATTAAATATCCATAACACGTTAAACACGTTAGATGTTCTGGTTTAGGGTTTAAGAAAGTAAATTCTTACTTAGTTCTAATGTGAGTCTTTCAGATGAACTTTTGTCTCTAAGCACGCAGAGCACCATTGCCTTTATGAAATTAGAGCTAATTTTCACTATTTTAAAGAAAGATATGTCTGTAAATTCACAACCATAAAAATGATCAACTATGGAAGTTTTTCAGTTGTTTTTTTTTTTCTTTAATTTGTAGACGACCATGATGTTCTTTCTTTTCTGACTTTCCAACTGACCGAGCCTGGGAAAGAGCCAGTGAGTATGCTTATTTTTCTCAGAAAGCGTATTTGCAATTTAGTGGTATTGCCTCATAGCTGAAAACTTGGGAAGGTTAACTCGGGTTCAGATCTTGTTTCTCCTAATGATTGCTGTTACGACCTGTGCAGGTTGCTTAAGCTCCGTACATGACACTCCTTCTCTAGTAAAACAGATGCTTGTGCTGGCCACCTTGATGTTGTAAGCATTAAAGACAGTGCACTTCTGGCAGGCACTCAGTAAATGGTAGTGGCTGTTACTATTTTTTGTCACAGTATTAATAGCAAGAGGAAATTAACCTTTCACCTAGTGGTGGAGTAGTTAAAATGAGAAAAAAGAACATATATCGAGGCTTATCACTTTCTTACTTTTTAATTTTTTTTTTTTTTAATGATCTGTTCTTAAACTCCAAACAAGCCTACAGTCGATAAAGAAATTTCTGAAAAAGAGAAAGAAAAGTACCAGGAGGAATTTGAGCACTTTCAACAAGAGCTGGATAAAAAAAAAGAGGAATTCCAGAAGGACCACCCCGACCTTCAAGGGCATCCTAGTAAGTTGGAGCCGAGACGGCCTCCGCTGCAGCGATGGTCGCAGGCCTTTTGAGCCCCCAGCGCTTCATTCATCTTACCTTTGCTCACTTATCTGTCACACTCCAAGTACTTGCTGGAAATGATTTTTAAGCCAGTCATAAGTCTCTAAAGGGCTTGGGGATCGATGCTTTCACCCGAAAGAGTGTCGCTTAGAGAAGCGGGCAGTCGGGAGTGCCGGGTGGCGGACGAACAGGGAGCCCCGGACTGCAGGCTCCCTGCGTGCACCGTTGTGTTCCCTGCGCCACAGACAGCGGTCGTGCTGGCGCAGTAGTTGAGACTCAGTACATGTTCGCTGAATGGAACTGTCCAGGTTGGGCTTCTTTCCTTTTTAGTGGCACACACTTACCTTAGTTGATACAAAGCTAGTACTTGAAAACTATCGAGACGTGGGAGAGTAATGTGAAGTGAATATCTCCTCTTATTACTCAGATAGAATTCTGGACATTAAAGGTTGAAATTTTTGAAATACTAGTCTAAGCTAGTATAACTGAGAACTTACATGGGCTCCATGTCACAAACAAGATAAGGCCAAGTAGAATGACTCTGTGATCTGCTAGCTTTTATGATCTCAGTTTCCCGTCAGCACAGATGATCAAGGCTGTAATTAATAAGGGCTTCCTGGTGCCTCAGCGGTAAAGGGTCTGCCTGCCGGTGCAGGAGATGCGGGTTTGATCCCTGGGTGGGGAAGATCCCCTGGAGAAGGAAATGGCAACCCACTCCGGGATTCTTGCCTGATAAGCACTATAGACAGAGGAGCCTGGTGGGCTGCAGTTCATGGGGTCACAAAGGCTCGAACGTGGCTTACTGACTAAGCAGACATACTTAATAAAGCCTGGGGCTAGCTTTTGAACTAAGTAGTGTGTTCATCTAAATGAGTAACAGTGTTATTCAGATTTAATGAAGATAAAAATGAAAAATAAATTTTATTTTTCCCTTGGATTTTTTTTTAACATATCACATATGATTTTTAAGTATATCCTGAAGCTTGTTGTAGTAAGTGTTTGCAGTTATCTGGTTTCAGCATGGTCAGAAATAAAAGGGAAATTAAAACTTTTCAACTCCGTTTCTTAGTCTTTTATGTGAGTAAAATGCACAGATTTTAAGAGAATAGTTTGATGAATTTTGACAAATTTTAACCATCACTCAGATGAGTGTATAGAATATTTTTATTGCCCCAGATCAAGTCAGCCACCTTTCCACAGAGATAGCCACTATTCTGATTCCTATTAAGAAATTAGATTAGTTCTGCCAACCCCTATAAATAGAATCACACAGTCTATTTAAAAGAGAAAATAATTTTTAGATGAAGAAATTCAGACCTAAGTTATAAATATTCAGCCACCAGAGATTGCGAAAACAATTAGTAATTGAATCACGATTGAATCAGTTACATGCATGTTTGTGACACTGGAAGGACTGTAACAACTGTGTTCTTCGTTTAGTGGAGGTTGTTACATGGTCACTTAGAGTAATTCGGAAACCACGTATGTGTGGGTGACTCATGATGATTTTTGATTTGTGATTACATTCTCAGCGGATGAAATATTTGAGAGCGTAGGAGACCGTGAGCTGAGACAGATCTTTGAAGGACAGAATCGTATTCATCTTGAAATCAAGCAGTTAAACCGACAGTTGGATATGATTCTTGATGAACAGAGAAGATATGTCTCTTCCCTGACGGAGGAGATCGCTAAGAGAGGAGCCGGAGCCCCAGGGCAGCAGGGACAGGTGAGCTTGCCAGGTCCGCGGAGGTGCCTTGGTGAGGGAAGGAGCCTGGGGTGGAGGAGCGGCAGGAAGGAAACAGAAGCGGTCTGGGTGTTAACGTGGTGTGCCCTCTGGAGTGGGGGCTCTCGGGCTGGCTGGTCATCTTGTGTTTTTCCTCCTGACCTTTCAGCAGGAACTGGATACTGTTGTGAACACTCAGCATGAGATTCTGAGACAAGTAAACGAAATGAAGTAAGTTCACAAAAGTCCTGTCTGAGTGCTATGTGATACCTTTATCCTAAATCCGTGACTTCTCTAGATATGTAGGCATGTCACTGTTGTAAGCTTCCTCCATGAGTAAGAATCACGTTCTGGATTATTTCTAAATAGGGGAGTGTAGAGTAGGGACTTCTCATATTTAGCAAACATGTCTAAATCTTTTAATTGTTCCCAGCTAGTAAAGAAAGCTTTATCATTTTTAAGGGAAGAGAAAAAATGCTAGTCAGAATTATTTGATAGCATTTGTGCATTTGTAAAATCCAGAAGAACTTCCCAGGCGGCTCAGTGGTAGAGAATGCACCTGCCAGTGCAGGAGACGTGGGCTCAGTCCCTGGGTCGGGAAGCTCCCCTGGGGAAGGACACGGCAGCCCACTCCAGTGTTCTTACCCGGAGAATCCCATGGACAGAGGAGCCTGGCAGGCTATAGTCCTGAGGTCACAAAAGAGGCGGACATGACTTAGCAACCAAACAACAACAAAATAAAAAGAATATGGGTAATACATAACAGTCCTGTGGAAAATAACTAGAGGAATAAGCACGCCCGGCATTACAGGGCTGTGAGACAGGCATACCTGTGCAGGAGCGTCTCTGCGATGGAACGAAGCCAGTGTGAAGGAAGTGCGCTTCGTGTGAGTGCCTCTTTTTCATTCTGTATTGTGCTGTAAGAGAGACTGGGCAAGGAGTTGGTGCAGAGACACGGTGTCCTTGTAACACTGAATGACAGGGTTTTTAAACGTTTTGATCTAATTTTAGACATTGCAGAAAATAAGGGACATATATCCATCATGCATCCAGTGTATCCCTCACTTCACTTGCTGATGTTACCTGTTGTGTAGCCACGGTACAATTGTCAGAACAAAGAATTTGACGTTGGCTTGGCACTATTAACTAATGATCCCACTCAGATTTCACCAGTTTTCCACCAATGCCTTTTTCATTCGAAGACCCACCCAGGGTTGCACACTGCGCTTAGTTATTTCTCCACTGAACTCTGCAGTCTGAAACAGTTCTCTCTCCTTGGCTTTTCTGACCATGGCAGTTTTTAAAAGCATTGATCAGTTCATTGGGCCAGTTTGGTTCCTCGGTTTGGGTTTATCTGATACTTCCTCAGGATCAGATGGAAGTTCTGCACTTTTTAACGAGAATACAACGGTGCAGCATGTTCATGATGTCGATATGTCTTACTGCTGGTGATACTGGCTGTGATCATTTGGATATTGTAGTTTCTTCCCAGTTTCCCTTGGTGGTTAATAAATATATATTTGGGGAAATATACTTTTGAGTATATTTGTATCCCTTACACTCCTTTTGTATTAAGAAACCAGGAGATCATCCAGACACTGGATTTTGGTTAGACTGGACCAGACACTGCAGAGCTGATGTTAGCCTTCCTCCTGTCCCAGCTTGAGCATCCTCTCTCCAGCAAGGAGGAACCTGGTTCTTAGTCTCTACAATGTGTTCACTTGTTGGTTCATTTTTAGTGTGCATAAAGTATATATAGAGTGACTTCAAATTATTAAACCATATCCCTATAAGAAACATATTTACTGATGGATTTATGTAAAGCTCCTTTTGCCTCTAGCCTTACAGTATTTCAGACTCATGTAAAGTTTGCTCAAACTCATGTCCATCGAGTTGGTGATGCCATCCAACCATCTCATCCTCTGTCGTCCCCTTCTCCTCCCACCTTCAATCTTTCCCAGCATCAGGGTCTTTTCCAATGGTGGCCAAAGTATTGGAGCTTCAGCTTCAGCATCAGTCCTTCCAGTGAATATTCAGGGTTGATTTCCTTTAGGATTGACTGGTTTCATCTCCTTTCTGTCCAAGGGACTCTCAAGAGTTTTCTACAACACCACAGTTCAAAAGCATCAGTTCTTCAGTGCTCAGCCTTCTTTATGGTCCAGCTCTCAAATTTGTACGTGTCTACTGGAAAAATCATAACTTTGACTATACTCACCTTTGTTAGCAAAGTAATGTGTCTTCTTTTTAATACACTGTCGGAGTTAGTCATAGCTTTCCTTCCAAGGAGCAAGCATCTTTTAATTTCATGCTTGCAGCCACCATCCACAGTGATTTTGGAGCCCAAGAAAATAAAACCTGTCATTGTTTGCACTTTTTCCCCTTCTATTTTGCATGAAGTGATGGCACCAGTTACCATCATCTTAGTTTTTTAAATATTGAGCTTTTTCACTGTCCTCTTTCACCCTCATCAAGAGGCTCTTTTTGTTCCTCTTCACTTTAGTTCCTCTTCACTTCCATTTATAGTATTGGTTTTAACACAAATTATTTAGTATTCTCTGTGCTTAAACAGCCCTTAGTAAAAGATGAAGGCATAATAATGTAGTTTTTATAAGTTATTTTCCAATTTTGAAGACAATTTTTTTAAATACTCTTTCTTTAAATGTTCTGTTGCATTGAGCGTAGAAATGTGTCTACCCCGTTGAAATCTGTGACTGTAAAACTCATCCTTCCAGTGATTGCGCTGTCTGACAGGCCTTTCTGTCTCAGGAACTCCCTGAGTGAGACTGGCAGACTGGTCAGTGGCGTCGCGCACCCGGGGCCGGCGGCGGGCGTGTACGAGGCCGCCCAGCACTTCAGCGACATCAAGGAACACCTGCACATCGTCCGGCGGGACATCGACAGCCTAGCGCAGCGAAGCACGGTCAGCTCTCCTTTCTCATCTGCGATCAGTTACCACAGTCTGCTTTTAGGGAGGACCGCGTACATCTTGCTGAAAATATCTTAACTTTTAAACTGCTGCCAGTGCTCACTTTTAATGTTCGGGGTAGAATGACTCCATTGTGACCCAGATGTCTACGTGTTCCACATCACGCTTCCATTGCCTACTGAATAGAATTGTTTAAAAAGATAAATTGCTATTCCAGGTACTGGGGTCATCACAACCTCAGGCATTTTTTTTTCCTAGAAGTTCTCTTTTAAAAAACATCTCTTGTTATCAGAAATGATACCCTTAAACAACTTTGAAAAAGGCAGCTGTTTCTTGACACACCCATTGGTGAGACAGACAGGCCCTGGGTAATTCATGTTTCTCTAGGCTGTTCAGGAAGTGCAGATCTAAAACTGGCTGATTTATAGCAGCTTTTTTTAGGCAAGATTTTTCTTTTTTCTAGCTACTTTCCTGTTTTACTTGGTTCTTTTTTTTTAAGTTTTGTTTTATTTGCTTTATTTGTTTTTTTTTTTCTTTTTTTTTTTTTAGTGTAGGTCCCACCTACATTTTTGGAGAGAGGCAGTCATTGTTAAAGATAGGTACCATATTTTTGAAGTTTAACATGCGTAAGAAGCAATATTAGAAAACAGGCCTCTGGAGCTTGTGCGTTTTTTCTTATTTACTGGCTTTGAAAACCCTTGTGAAATCTACAAATGGTTATAGCATTTGCCTCTTCCCCTTCCAGTTTTTTAAACATGGTTCAGTAGTTTTCTCATTGACCATTTTACCTCCCTCCCAAAGCATTGTCATCTACTCCCTAAATTCTATTTGAGGTCATTTCCCCCCAAATTCAGCTTTTGTTAAAATGGCCAGGTTAATGCTGTGGGTAATAAATACACTGTGAAGAGCCTTGTCCTGCAGATGTGAACGTATTGAGAACAACTAATCTCAGAAGCCATTTTGTCTGATTACCTTGATGAAATCTTTGTCCCCATATTTTAATTTTTGATACTTGCTTATGAACGGTCCTTTCTCAGCGCTCATCCACCCCGATCTCCTACATAACATCACTGATTAGTTTTTTGGGAAAACATTTCTTTTCCCATTTACACGAATATTTCTCCATAACCCCATGGACAGAGGAGCCTGGTAGGCTACAGTCCATGGGGTCGCAAATAGTTGGACATGACTGAGCGTTTCACTTTCACTTTATAATAGAAGGAATACTTGTGTAAATGGGAAAAGAAATGTTTTCCCAAAAAACTAATCAGTGATGTTGCACGCAGGAGGTTGGGGTGGATGAGCGCTGAGAAAGGGCCGTTCCTGTTGGGCAGGTGAGTATAGGGCAGCCGTGCTTACTTGTCTGAACCAGAAGCCCGCCGACGGGGACGAGGCTGCCGTTGGGAGTTACTGTAGCCGGAGGACCAGGGGTGTCCCCGGGGTGGGCTCCGTAACCCTCGGGGGTGCTGACGGCACGGTCACTGTCATGGGGGACGAGCCGGCCGGCGGGAGGTCGGTGACCAAGGGCGCAAGAGGGGTCCTCCCCCGTCACCTGCTCTTTCAGGAAGTTTGTGAAAATGAAGAGGATGTTTATGGGGTGAAAAATGAAAGTATTTGAGTCTATACCATGAGTTTTATAAAGATTTCACATTTATTTCCTTTTCTGAAATACTGGTTTGACTAATTACAATAGAATTTTTTTCCCTTCACAGCCATCAAATGAAAGACCAAAATGTCCAGAAGTCCCACCATTTCCATCGTGTTTATCTACACTGCATTTCGTGGTATTCGTTGTGGTACAGACGGTGTTATTTATCGGTTATATCATGTACAGGTAAGTCTCTGAAAGTTGATCCAGCATTTTTCTGTATCTGTTTAATTTGAAATGTTCAATAAAGTTATCTGTATCTATAATGAAACTTTGAATACCTATAAAATTAGGTTCATACAAAGCAAATATTATGTCAAGAATATTTCAGTTCGCATGGGAGTGCATGTGTAGGACATGTGTATCTTCATGTATTTCGTACTTCAAAAGGCATTTTTAATTTTAATCAGTCCTGTTTCATTCCACTATAAAGTGTACAGAATTTCACAGGGTCTTTTTTTTGTCTCTTTTTCCTTAGGACTCAGCAAGAAGCAGCTGCCAAAAAATTCTTTTGACCACCATTTTCATATGTGTACATCATGTATGTATGTACAAAATATCTTTTTGAGGGAATTTAAGTATTTAAATTGCTTTTTAGTCTAAATTATTTTGTATAAAATAACTGTTTAAACATTGACTTAAGAATAAACCTTAAAGACAACCACGTGTAAATTTGTGCATAGTACATAAATCTATTTAAATTTCAGTGAATTTCTGGCCAGTAGAATACAGCCACTGCACAGAATACTGATAAATCAGAGGGTTAAAAACCAGAAAGGGGGAACCTGTCCATATATGAAAGTGACCCGTAAGCCTCCAGTGCTGGAGACTTCTGTCTTTAGCATAAACACCCTTGCCCTCCTGCCCCCAAAGTATGAGGTCTGAGAGCTACCTACCCATCATGATTATTTTGTAACCAAAGTCTTTTTTTTTAAGAGGCCAGAATTTCTTGCTCCAAGACTCAGTGCTGCAGTCCTTGAATCTAATACAGCTCCCTTTGAAATCAAAAAATATTTTGTCTGAGTGTTAGGATCTGGGTAATAGGATTCAGTATGTTTATTGAAGCATTGTTTTCCCCTTCTGATCATCAATGATGTATTTCACTTTTAAAGGAAATTTGGGGGGCGAATTAAGAGCTGCTCTTTGCCTGAAAAACCATTTAGGTGAGAACTTTCCTCTGATAATGGTTTTTATGGGTCTTTTGCCTGGTGAGGTGTTCATTTCATGATTGCTCATATTCTTGATTGTCTGTGTTCCAACAGAGTCAGTTCATTACGAAAATCACTCTGCTTTTGTATCTAAATTCACCTCAGATGGCATGTTCTGGGGACATTTTAAGGTCACAGCACCTACCGCTGCTTTCAGATTTACATCCCTCCATGCAGCTCCACGTTTCTGACGCTGTTATTAGTCGAAATCCAGAAGGCAGGAGCAGAAGCAGTGTTAAAGTTTCTGAAAGCAAAATCTGAAAAATGGTGTTACAACTTCTGATTTGTTTTAATGCCAGAACTAAGGGCATTGTGAAGCAGGTGTTGGTAAGCGTAACCTTGAAATGCCAGGCTGGAAGGAGTTGCTGTAGTCTGTACATACTTCTAGGTGTTACAGAAACTGTCTGTAAATGACATTTAATTTAGTTTTCATAGCTGATGTAGACTTCAAAATACTCTTTTACTTTCCCTTGTCTAGCTAGCGGAAATGATGCCTTTCATTTGTCATAGAACTGAAAATGGTACCATTTTATAAATAGTACTGTTTAATTCTTCACAGCTTTCAGAAATTTGCTGTGAGTTGTTATTTGCTGGTTGGACTGACTGCCTGAAACCCACACAGAGACTGCAGGAGTCTGCGTCAGAGCGGTCGCTAACTGGAGCCGCACGTGCAGACAGTGCTAGCACGCTGTCACGGGAGCGCGTATCCCGGACACCGAGCAGGAGTGCTCTCTTGGCCACTCACACACTGACAGCCACTTCAACCCAGACCTGCTCCACGGGTATTTTTTTCTTGTAGTGTTAACATGTTGAAATTCATATTTCAGAGACATCATCATGACAGAATTTACTCTTATTCCATGAAAAAAAATTTAATACCTTCCGAAGAATGTTTCAGTTGTAGACTGTGAGACTTGGATATCTATCCTCTTGAGATGAAAAGCTGCAGAATATCCAGTATTATAAAAACCCAGAGCCACGTGTGCCTGAACTTAAAGGAATAGTAGATCTATGCAGTGTACATTTTCCAGGCTAAAATTCAAGAGGAATTGTTCCGATCATTTCTAATACAAGTGAAGACAGCTAGGACAAAAGAACACACGCGTAAATCTTTCTTCCTTTCCTTTTGCTAAAAAAAAAAAATCACTCAGTAAGACGGTTCATACAAGTTATTATTGTTGGAAATTTGGTTTGTTTTCCTCAAAATCACTGACTTCAAGTAGTTTATTTCTGTTTTTTAAAAAATGTGTTTGCTATGTGGGAAAATCAATCACTGCCAGGATCCTCTCATTTCTGTACTGTTTTATAGAATTGAATTAACTTCTCTCACACCAGCAAGTATTTTACAGGTGCCTTGGATTAAAACAAAGTTGATTTTACAATTTTACTGTAAATCTTTGTGCTTCTGCCACTTTAAAAAAGAAATGCAATTGTATAATGGTTAATACTCTTAGTTAATGTACTTTTTGTGTTCTGATTGTTTGAATGTTTTATTCAGCTTAAACCTTTACTATGAGGGCACAATATTCTGTCATGTTTTAAAGAGACAGTAGTGTTTCTCAGAGTGTGGTCTGTGAACCATCTGAGTCCTGGAGCGCTTGTTAAGAACACAGATTCCAGGGCGCCATTCCCAACCACCTGCATCGGAACTCAGCAGTGGGACCTGCAGAGAATCGTTTTTTCGGCAGGCACCTCAGGCGATTCTGAGTGCACTACTGTTAAGAACCACTGAGGTGAGGGGTGGGGAAAGAAACACAGGTGTGTGTAGTTTTACAGCTGAGCTGAGAGCTAACATAATATTTTCATTGCCAGCGACATTAGCAAATGTGCAGTGATTCTTTATACTTAGAACGTATTACTTAACGTTCTTTTCACCAAGACTCTTGGTTTATCAGCAGCTACAAACTAAACCCAGATTGTTGCCTGTGGCTCTCGGTACTTTGCTTGGCGGCTCTTACAAAATCATCTCCAGATCATGGTCAAGCCATGAAAACCCCCATCTTTGAATCTGCCTGCTAAAGTGTTTTGCTTTTCCTGATTTTGGTTTTTGTGACATTTTATCTCAGACAATTGTACTTTTTGATAACTTGGGGACAACAAAAATTACTTGAATAAGGGATTGCCTGACCCGCTGCATTGCAGAGACACAGTCTTTGTAAAGAACAGAAATGACAGTTGTGAATATTAAGATGTGATTATCTTTCTCCTGTCCATGTGCTTATTGCAGGGAGATAGTGAACAAATGATTATACTGGGGATTTTTTTATTTATAAGATCTAATGTAAAATCACCACTTGCAACTTTTTAGATCTGTATGTTGCCTGTTTAATATATTCTTTTAAAGTTTAAAAAAGTTTTCTATCCATTGTTAATTTCAATTAGGTGACATTTTGTTGTTTTTTTCCTGATTGTTAATTTGATGCTAGCTGGAATTCAAAAGATGACATTGACCTTATTCAAATAAAGAAATATTTTAGTAAACTTACTTTTTCCTTCATTGGTCTCAGATAATAAGTTATTTCCCAAGTAGGTTATTTCCCAGGAAGGCCCTGATCTATGATAGTATTTCATGTGTCATATGCTTTGCGTTCTGCCCTAGGGCGCCTACCACCTGCAGAGTCAATACAGGGAAGCATCAAAAGAGAATTTAAAACTGCTATGGATAAATGCTTACCCTTGCTGGTAATGAAAAATACAAAATAATTAATACATTTGATATTTTCATCTAAAGTAACCAAATATTGGTAAAAATGTGGCTAAACTAGAACTTTTAGTCGTTACTAATGGCAGTTTTTTTTTTTTAATCTTCTTTTTGGTAAGTAACATTTAACCAAATTCTGAGGGTCTGTGTGCTATGAAAAAGGAGAGTACAGCTTTAGTGTCAGACAAATCTGGGTTTAAAATCTTGGCTTTGCCACTTCCTAAAGATGGCCTTCATTTTCCTCATAATACCCTCTCGGGGTTGGCAGCTTGTAAAAGGTGGTCTTTATAAGTGGTTTCAGGAAACGGAAACTAAGGTAATGGGCCCTTCCGCCATGAGCACGCAGACGAGGGCTTCCCCTGTGGCTCAGCTGGTAGAGAATCCGCCTGCGATGCGGGAGACCTGGGTTTGATCCCTGGGTGGGGAAGATCCCCTGGAGAAGGGAAAGGTTACCCACTCCAGTACTCTGGCCTGGAGAACCCCATGGACAGTCCATGGGGCCACAAAGAGTCGGACACAACTGAGCGACTTTCAATGTAAAAGAAACTAGGTAGGTTTGAGTATGACTAATTAATGTTGATGTTTGGCAGAAACCAACACAGTTTGTAAAGCAGTTATCCTTCAATTAAAAAAAAAAAATTTTAAAGAAAGAAATTACATAGCTTTGAAAGAAATGAGAGGAAACCAAACCCTCGATCAGTGAGCCTGCTGGGGGAGGGGTGGCGGGAGCTGGACACGATTGGGGCCCTGGGGACCTGGCCATCGCAAGGATTTAGGATTTTATTCAGGTACGATGAGAAGGCTTTGGAAGGTTAACACCTCGTTTTCCCATTTCACCTGGGGTGTTTATTTTCCCTTTCTGGAAGATTCCACTGGATGGCCAAGTGGAAAGACCATTGGAGTAAACTGAATAAAAAGTTTTTAAAGACACGGTACTCTTTTCAAACAAATTATCTTACGGGAAAGCAATGAAAGATCTGATTTTGCAAACAATCCCAGGGAGCATTCGTTTGTCACCCTGGTTTGGTCATCACCCAGGGGTTTCTGTGATGCCCAGCACCCCTTCCCCCATCACACACGCACGAAGGACTGCTTAGGGAGAGACGGCCTCACAGTCTGGCTTTGGGGTTCAGAACCGAGACCCTCACTGTCGGGATTTCCTAATTCCTAGTCAAATGGGATTGTAATCGTTTTATAATAATTTAACTGAATAACATAGATTTTTATCTTTATTGTTTTGCTTTTAGAGATGGTCCTTTTCTTTGAGAAATAAAAGGTGTCTTTTAATGTTTCAAAACACCTGTAAGGAGAGTTGTGTTAAACCAGGAAGATAGCAGACAGAAACAAACTGTGACTTCTTTATGCAAAGTTCTGTGATGCGTAAGCCTTCTCAATGGAGATGAAATGCAGTTTATTATAAAAATAATTTAGGGGTCATGGCTTGAATGTATTAAGTCCCAAGCAACACATCTTTAAAAGTGGAAGTGGAATTAAGTGTGAAATTACATTCTCGATCAAAGAACACCAAGAAAAGTTTCTTATTTCACCCTAAATGTTGATTTTTTAAACTGAGACCATTTTAGCAACACTTTAGGTTAGTAACGTG